TGACAATCCGATTTGACGCTCGGGATTTTACATTTTGTAAGAAACACTTTCACTTCATATTATTAGAACATGCAGTAAAACGTATACATGTGTATTGGAATACTTTCACGAAATCAAAAGCAACTTACTATGACTTCCAAGACGATTTTTTCGGATGTGCAATCAACGTATTAGTCTACCCACATATTTTTACCAAGTATGTCGACAACTTGTATTCATGCAATATATCTGCGAAACATATGCGAATGCTTAACATGTGTTTCCATAGCAACCAATCTGATTTTATTAGCGCCGACATGACTATTTGTGGCGACAATATATTGATTCAGGTAAATGCATTGTGGCTATCGGATTATATGTCCAAATACATTAAACAGAATCAAACACTTGTGCTTAGTCACTAATCACTGTAATTAGACTTGTATGTTCTGTATTCATATGTGCTACATATTTATACGATGCATTTCTCAGACTGTCGTGAGCAGTGGAAGTAGAAAAAGGCTGGGTGTTATCTTAGCAACAGTATTAACTGTATCCGTTCTTGGAGGTGGTGGCATTGGATCATATTTTGGTGAGTATCACGTGATGTAATTTTGTAACTATAAATATTAGCATAATTTGTATATTATAAGCGATTACTCAGTTAATTTAATAGACTGATGTAGAACATGATTAGTACAATTCAAATTTGCCATTAATCGTTAAGCACATATGATCCAATATAACCATTATTAATATTATAATATATATTAATATTCTATAATATGTTCTAACTGAATATTTACATAGTAATAACACATAATAATAAAACAAATATATAAATTCATTGTAATTTTCTACATCTTTTGGTATTACTGAACCAATGCATTTTATGTGTTTATACGTATTTATTTTGTTTTCTTCAGGAATTATTGGTTCTCAATCGACTGGCACAGGTAATCGAATTGTGTTGTTGAACTCCTCCCATTATACGTTATTCGCCAATTGTTGTCGGGATATCGCTGAGAATAAGGAAACCACACAATTTGTTCCCCCTCCCCTATTTACCGTCATCGCGTTCACTGTTTTGCTGACCATAGAAATCATGAGAAACAAGAAATGAGTTACAATAAACATCATTAGTTAGTTAATTACTTATTTTAATATTCTGGTATTTTCTGCTTTCAGCATTGGTGTCGGCAAATGTAGAGCTGTCAAGTCAGCCACACGCCACTCTTGACATAGTACTTTGGTGGCTCAAGGTATTTCAATTGCACATTGATATACATATTAGCTCCAGTAGTGACGCTGTTAGTGGACCTGCATCTGCGTTATTTGCAGTTGAAGTGTTCCTCAAAATGGATGATGTAGACCCTGGCACAGCCAAGTTACAAGAGGAGAATAGCGACGTACTAAACCATCGATTAATAGGATCTATCCTTGGCGATGAAGTAACATTTGATGATGATGTCATCATCGCTCTAGATATTCAACCAGTAGAAATGGACTTCGGAGAGCTGGTGTGCAACCATTACAGTGAGATCTGTGTAGAAATCAGACCAGTAGAAGATACTATCTGGCAATGGAAATCTGACGAAGAATTCAAGACAGCGTGTATTGACCTCGGAATGTGTCAATGTAAGTGTAAATATATCCCATTAACGCAAATAACATATACCTCCCTCTATGAGACGTAAATTAATTTTACCTCTTTATTCTGTCAAATAGACCCAATCGATGCCGATGACTTGCAGCATATGGTCTGACCTACCAGGTACATAACTCTAGCAGTGAAACTATAGTATAGAAACTATAGTATTTGATATTGACATCGGGATCAGCAACGAATCGCAATCTTACAGTGATGTTGCAGACTCTCTGTTTTCCGTGTCCCTTTACTTCTCTGACGAGTTTGGAGAATATATTTCATCAAAATCACCAATCCAGGAATTGCCAAGTGATATGATCATGATGGCACCAGGAGCTTTTATCAATCTCGCGAATATCAGTGTAAATTACGACCTCACAGGAATGGGCTGTGCTCAAAATCTCTACTTGTGTGTTGATGTTGGCCCGAGAAGCGACTCCCCTTGGATATGGTCGGTTGCAGATGTCGTCATTACTGATTGTCTTCCTGTTGTAACATGTCAAAGTAAGTCGGTAATTTGTATTGTTAATTATAGTAAGTACTCGTACATGTATGAGATTTGTGCTATCAGTTGGTGTATTTGTAGTTAAATGCTTTCAAAAATACAACCATCTATGGAGATGCATTTATATTTTGTTATGTTAGCTGAATACGTAGAATAATATTAACACGTTTTGTCAGAAATATCAAAAACATACTAAATAATTCTTTGTTTCGGCTTTGAATAAATAGCAAAATTTGCATCTTAGTTGCAAGCTGGTAACTATGGTTAATTATGTTAGTGTTTACATTGCCCAAAGATTTGCAGCATTTTTAAAGAAGTAGGCATACTGTTTATTTTACAGTACTGGGTATTTGTCCATATCTTTAATCTATCCAAGAGTTCATATATTCCCAACCTACGCTCACAGATTCAACTCAGTGAATGGCTATTGACATTTCATTGGGCGTAAAATTCAGTGTCTGCCGCATTTACATTTACTTGGTGTGTGCTGCATTCCCAATTATATCAATATTATGATAACTGTTATACTAAAACGAGAATGAATGTTTATACTTTTTAACTCCTAAAAACCTGACTAAACAAACACAAAGTCAAAAAATAATTCAAAACTTTCTTGTTTCTATTTAGATCAAATTACTGCATCTTCTATTGATCTAATGGTCGCTACAGGAAACGATCTCAATATGATAATGGGCTCCGATAAAACTTTCACTTTAGATATCAGTATAGTAACCGACCAAGAAACAGCTGCCTTCGAAGGTGAAACAGAGTTTGTTTTCCAGACGTCACTTTATTTAGCATCCGATTCAGAAGAAGCGCGTATACCAAGCACTGTATCCTTGCCATCAACTATCATGGTATATATCAATGTCAATCATAATTTTGAACTATTGGGAGTAATTTTTAGTGATTTCAGTTTAAATGATCTGAGCTGTGAAGATTATACACACGTTTGTGTTGACATGTCACCTGTGGTAGGAATGTTACCGTATGAATGGACGTGGGCAAATGAAATTGCTTATGAAACCAGTTGTACGCAATTGGATGGACAATGTCAAGGTAATGTCTTATCTGTGTAATTTGCAATACATGTGTATGAAGTTGAATTTATACATAACATTTAAATCCTTTCATTTCACATTCGCATATACTATTCAATTAACAATCCTAAATTTAGTGATTATATTCCAATGATATATATGTACTATTCAAGCCTTCATATAGATGATCTTGAATGGCATCAATGTCACGTGATTATTGCTAAGAATCATTCATTATGTGTGCCATACATAGAGAATGTTCTCATTTCTCTTGAACACTTCATGCGTAAGAAGAGGTCAATATATCTCCCTCTCATTCAGTCGACGGATTTCCAACCCCCAAATAATACTAGCACCACACAAGGCCCATAATTGCTCAACTGTATTTTGGACTGCACCATTCCTCACTTGAGTAAGTCAAGTTGTTGAACACCGAGCTGGAATGAAGAAGGCATTGCTTTTATATTTGTTTTTATTTTTCCTTTTAATCTAAGTTAACCCATATGATGTCAAGTTGCAAACTATCAGCTGTTTACCAGTACTACAGTATGGTTTGTCTTCAAAATTTCGGAAGATTGTTT